AACTCCTTGCAAAAAAAATATTATAACATAATATTTGCAATTTTCAGTAAATCAAGAAAAATTAAATAATATACTCGGGGAATTGAAAATAAATTTGGACACAAGAAGGAATAAAACAAGTTAGAAAAATCACATGGAGCACACCCCTTATTTTCCACCAAACATATTAATGTAGTCAACAATTGTGTTGGTTAGGTATCACCTCATTATATATATTTAGACTCCCTAATTACGTACAAATTAGGGATTTCGTGTGTGATAGTGATTTGTAATGCGGTTATAGAGAAGAAAAATAAAAATTGTTTTATGCTATTTGTACCCTAATTAATTTGGTACGCTAGATAAACCCAAAAAAGTATTATTGAAATTTAAAAATGCATTATAGAAATTTTTTTATAAGAAAATTACTCCGTATTTTTTAGAACGAGGGAGTAATTAATTTTTTTTGAATTTATTTTAGGATATAATCAAAAAATGAAAAGTACCAACAAGGCTACCGTTTTTTTTCTCACCTAAAAATAGCTTTCGGTGAGTGATGTGGCAAGAAGAAAAATAAAAGTACTTTTCTCTTTTGTAGAAATGTCTTCCTCTCTTATTAAAAAATTATTTGTCCTCAAAAAGTAAAAGGTTTATTCAATAAAATAAAAATTATATTGTAATGTATACTTGTATAAAAGAGATTTCATTTGATTTATCGTGCTGATAACTTTCGGAAGTTGGTTGCATTGTATTAATATGAAATAATACAAATTAAGAGTAACTAATAATTAAAGTACATTCATTTTGACTCAAAAAAATTAAATTAGACGAATACAATGAAAGGGATGTAGTATAAATTTTATCCTCTGTGGCCTCCAAATTTACAGTATATTGAGTCGCTCAAAGGTCACTCAAGTCCTCGAAACATTACTCCCTCTGTCCCTAAATATTTGCCACACTTGTATTCTCGAGACAAAATATTAAGTTTTTTTTTAATTTATTTTATTTACATATTGGTATATAAATAAAAAAATAAAATTTACATATTAAAAGACTACATGAAAAGTTTTTCAAAATAAGAGGTGTCAAGAATATTTTATTTTATCAAATAACCAATGAAAACGTAGAAATAAACAAAAGTTTCCGCGACTGCTGAAAAAGCAAACGTTACAAATATTTTGGGACGGATGGAGTATTAAAAATCCTAGAGCTTTTCTAGAACCATTCCAGGCAATAGTTTAAAATAAATTAATCGAATTCTAATTTTAGACTGATCAACAGAAAATTAGACCTATACCTCGTGCAAACAATTTCATGTTACGCATAATCGTTCTTCATCATATCGCCATTGTGAGAAATCAAATTGCTCAAACATTATTCAATCTATTTTGCATTCTCTATTGAATTATTGACCAATTAAATTACGTCTCACATGTCTCGCTAGATACATTATTATAAAGTTGAGGAAGAGTATTGCTTTGTTTGGGAATAACGTTTTCAATTAGCCTTAATTTTTTACAAAAAATTTTAGCGGTGTAGATTAACTCTGAAAACATTAACACTTAAGGCTACCGTCAGATAACCTTTTCAAAACGTTAACACCAACTTCTAACGCTGATGCCAAACGAGGCCTATGAGTGGCATAATGCGTCTTGATGGACATAATTTTTAGAAGTTACCTTCTTTAGGATTTTTTACATGCACAAAATTAGTTTGGTAAAATCATTTTTTTAAATCTCATTTAAATTGTTTAATTTCCACCCCAACCCCACCCCACACAACCCGACATCATTAGAGTGTTGGTTTGCTCTTGCTAACAATATTTGACTCTTAGATCAAGTCTTGTTTTTTTTGTTCTATTAGGCGCTGCCCCCTGCTTTAATTATAATTAAACAAAATTTATTAATCAAACAAAAGTCCAATTTTCCTTTTATAGATCCCACTAGGTAATTAGGCTAATTATAATCTTGATGAATTTACTTTCAGGGTCCGTTTGGTATACGAAATTGATGGAATTGGAATTAAATTGAAATTGAAATTTCATGGGATTCAATTCCATAGAATTGAATTCTGCCAATTCTAATTCATTTTTTGCACTATCAATTCCAAATCCACACAATTTTTGTGCTACCAAACACCAGAATTGGAATTGAAGTCTTCAATTCAAATTCCATAGTTTGAATTCCATATACCAAACGGAACCTCAAAGAACTTGTGGTCCAGTAATAATATTGTAACTTTTGCAAATAAGAGTGATAAATCATATGTGCATCAATAAGTTTTGAGAAAACTATATACTCCCTCCGTTCTTTAAATTCTTTCTCTTTCATTTTTTTCCAATTCCCTAAAACATTTCGTTTTTCTATTAAAAACCTACTTTTACTACTACTTTTTCATACACTACCTATCGGATCATATTTTTCACTAATAACTAAACTATTACATCTTACTTTTACCCATCACATCAGGAGCAAAATTGGAAAGTCAACCAAAATTACAATTTCCTTAACGGAGGGGGTATATTATTATTTTTGAAAATGTGCAAAGAAACATGGTATGATATAACCATATGAATTGTATAGACGGTAATCATTTTGGGACGGATTGGGATAGTATTAATTTGTTCCTAAGTTTAATGCATAAAAATGTAACAAATGATTAATATTAAAACTAAAATTTAAGAAACCTGAAATTTATATTTAGAAATTATTCAAACTAAAACTTTAATATTAAAATCAAAATACTGAAGTCTGAAATTCAAAATTTGGAACTTAGATTCTAGAGTATAAAGTGGTGGCGACTTGCAAAGAAGCCTACATAAGAAAAACATGAGTGTTTAAATCATTAATCATCACAATTTTGCACGTCATTTGCGCATTTCTTGTTGGAATGTCGGCTTCCTTTTTTTTGTGTTAAAACGATAATCTTACAAAATAACGTTACGGCGTCACGGTCGAGTTTCGGCGTAAAAAAAAGCTACAAAGATAATGTTACGGAACTCACGTACTTTTGCAAAATGAACCTTTTTTTTTCAAGACTTGTTATGCTCCTTGAGAGCTTTAGATTTTTTGGATACATAAAATTTTTAATTTGTGTGGAAAAATAATAAAATTTTAAGATTTCATATATGTTGTGTTACTTGTGTAAATCAGTGCGTTGAAAACTTTTCACCTTTTTTTTCATCTGTCCCAAAAAAAATCTCATTTTTATTAAAAAAAACACTTTTATCTCTATTAACACTTAACATATCTATCACATCATAATTTTTCATTATATCTCATCATATCCTTACTATCACATCTAAAGAAATCCTTTAAAAATCAAAACTTGAAAAATTTTGTGGGACGGAAGGAGTATGAAATACAAAAGGAATGAAGTATAATGATAAGAATGCCACTAAATTATTTGTTTTTCCAAAATTGCCATTGCTTTTTATTTTTCCACTAATGTCATTGAACTCTTTAAAATATTCAAAAATGTCACTCAAGTTTGTGGGCGTTCTGCAGTTGGCAAAGACAGAGAGTGTCAAGGGGGTTGAATCGAGTTTGATTTCTAGCAACTGCGCTGAGAAACAATTATGCTAAACATGTGGTCTTTAAGAGTACCAGCCTACCAGGTGCAAGTTTCACTTCCTGCAACCAATATACGATTAAAATTTAATTTATCCTCTCTCTGACTGTTCGATCGCATCTGAGGAGGTCCTTGGGGATGAGGATCATCTTTCGAGGGATGTCACTCAAGTGTTATTTTATGTCAAAATGTCACAAAATGCCACTAAAGTTCCTACTCTTCCCTTTTTAATTTCTCTTGTGTTGTATTTGGGAACATGAATTTAGATTTCTATTATGGATTTGATTTAAATCATTTGTTTGAGAACTCGAATAATATATTTCGAATTTAGATTTGAACCAAATTCTTCTAGTTAAAAATTAACCCAATAACATATCAACACCTCTTCTCATGTCAATTACAAATTCAAACCTAGCTTTTTGAACGATATTGACTTTATTATAATGTAATATTTGTACATACATTTTTCAACCTAATAACGCCAAAGAGTCGATGCCTTTGCTGGGACTCGACCCTGGGTGAACTTTCTCAACTTTTCATTAATTTATAACATGTAATTAATTAAAGAGTGATCTTCTCTATACAACAATAATTCCATACATATCAACCCGCTTCCGTTACCGTTTTTGTCGACTACAAAATTAAAAATCTAGAATTGAAAGTCTAAGACTTCCCAAATGACATTTGTTATTTGAAATTATGGGATTTCAAATATTAGAATTAAAATCTAAGATTTCAAATGAATTCTAGTTCCCAAACATTATATGAAGAAAATTATACTTAGTTGTTTTTTAAGGTGAATGAAGAGTGTGGCGATTTTTTCTAAGATAAGAGAAAAGTTTTCAAATCACATGTTAACTTATACAAAAATAATAATAAACAGAGTAGAAAATATTTTAGTAGCGTACATTAAAAAATTTTAGAAATTTTTTATATGAAGATATTATTTTTATTAATAAAAGATAACAAAGTATCATACTCCATATTACAAAACTATATTTTAAGATAATTGTTTTGTTTCTAAATAAAATATTTAAGATTGTTAAAAATTGCCAAGGAACATATTTGTTATGAAATAAGATAAATTCTATCGTGGAGAAAGTCCACAAAATTTTTCTAGACTCGACCTAGATGCACCCAAAATATTATACGAAGACTTTAGAAAATATATATAAGAAAAAGAATTAAAAAAATTGCCTATTAATGCCTTGTAGCTATTTTAAAATATTTGAGTATTATTTTAGAACATTTTAGAAAAATTCCAAAAAAATTAAGATATCTTTTTTGAGATGGGAGGTGTATTATTCAGGCCCAAAATGTCCAATCTACTTAATATTATCGAAGCCCACGTGATTCAATCAGTCCCAAAAATGTCTCGAACCCATTAATTTGGTCTAAGTCCATTTTGTTTTTGTAGCAAAAAGCCCCATATGTATAACGGACTGCTGCTACGCAGCCAAACCCTAACTCTAAGCGAACAAGAACCCTTCATTTACAGAGGAAACCCTAGCTCCCTTCCAGAAAACGAGAACAATGGCTGACAGAGGAGGAAGGTTCGACCGCGGCTTCGGAGGAGAAAGAGGTCGCGGCCGTGGTGATCGCGGCCGTGGTGATCGCGGACGTGGCCGTCGCCGCCGTGCTACGGAGGAGGAGAAATGGGTTCCGTGTACGAAGCTCGGTCGGCTGGTGAAGGATGGAAGGATCAATTCGTTGGAGCAGATCTACCTTCACTCGCTCCCCATCAAGGAGTATCAGATCGTCGATACCCTCATCGGGCCATCGTTGAAGGACGAGGTGATGAAGATCATGCCGGTTCAGAAGCAGACCCGGGCCGGTCAGAGGACCCGATTCAAGGCTTTCGTGGTCGTCGGAGATGGAAACGGTCACGTAGGTCTGGGGGTCAAGTGCTCCAAGGAAGTCGCCACTGCGATTCGCGGCGCCATCATTGCCGCGAAGCTCTCTCTGATTCCCGTCAGGAGAGGCTACTGGGGAAACAAGATCGGAAAGCCGCACACTGTTCCCTGTAAGGTCACCGGAAAGTGTGGATCTGTCACCGTCCGGATGGTTCCAGCTCCGCGAGGTGCCGGAATTGTGGCTGCTAGGGTTCCAAAGAAGGTCCTCCAGTTCGCTGGTATTGAAGACGTCTTCACTTCCTCCCGTGGCTCCACGAAAACTCTTGGAAATTTTGTCAAGGTATTTGTAGTTACAATTATTATTTAATTTCTTTTCAATGAAGCTTGATAATTACTTTATAATATTGGTATGCAGCTTATTGTTTTGGTTTGAATACATGATTCCTTTATTATAATAATAATAATAATTGTAATTAGAATTAAATGTATTATAGGTTATTAATTCTGGCTGTCTATTTTCAAGGGTTCCAGAGCAATTTTTTAATTGCATTGCTTATGGTTGTAAAACTATGCCTGGAAATGCTTATGTGATTGACTTGTCATTTTTAAACTGATATATTTCTCATGAAAATGAGTGTAGAACTGTCTTTTTTCAATAAAAGAGCATGCATCTTTTTTTATCAACCAATCAAGCAGCCCAAGCAAGTAAGTTCATGTTAATTCCAATTTCGTCGAGGAATAAAAGTTCAATTTTTATAATAGAAATTGAGAATGTATAGTGTACACCCGGCTGTATGTAGAACTAGGTACACCTACCAAACATTCATTTTGATTCAACAGAATGTTCATTTCAAATCAACATAATGTTTATTTTCAAGTGTAGTTTTCATTCTGAAACATGTTCATTCTGAAACAATATAGTGTTTATTCTGATACAACGTACATTTCATTCAGAAATGTTTTTTTAATTACATGTTCCTCGTGATGTACCAAGAGGAAGGTAAATATAATTTGTCATGTATTGTATCTATCTCATAATGTCCTCTTTGCAATATGCCTTGTCCATGTTAAGATATATATCTGACTTCGGCTGACTATAAACTTGCAAACTATCCAACATATCATTTGAATAATCAGTTAGAGTTTTAGTTCGGAGCACCAAGTGTGACTCAATATCATTATAATCTATTTGCCTTCCTGAATTTCTTAATGATGATTTTTGGTATTAGAAACAAGCTTAGCTTTGTCAATGATCATGTGAGTGAATCTTGTTTGGTTTTCCTGCAGGCTACCTTTGATTGTCTCTCTAAGACTTACGGATTCCTCACACCAGATTTCTGGTCTCAAACCAAATTCATAAAATCCCCATTTGAGGAGTTCAGCGATATCTTGGCTCACCCCACCACCAAACATGTTTCTGTGGAAGAGGCTGTTGCCGAGAAACTCGAGGCTTTGTGAGCTAGACCTTTAGATCTTTTTCTTCACTGCTACTAAGATTGTGATGCCTGTTTTGCTTTAATCAATTCCCCTCCATCCGGGGATATTTCATTTTTCTTGTGTTTTTTTATACTCCCTACCATAAAGCAATGCCATTTCAGTTTCTTTTGTTATTTTCATTGACTGGTTTATGCTATCTAATCTAATGCACCAGAGTGCTTGTGCCATTCTATGATGAATCCCCCCAACCCAACCGAAGACTTTACTATACCTTTTTGTGTGTTCTTATCTCGATGGGATGCCAATATGCCATAGAAGTACTAGAGTATTGTTCTAAAGAAACGCAAAGCTTTGTGACTCTAGGTAAATGCATGCATATTTTCCCCATGTGTACTTGCAATATTCTTCCCTAATTGCGAAGTTTAGTCAAGTAAAAGCAACACTGTTTTCATATTAAAAAATTTTGAAAAAAATTCAGTCAAATATCGTAAATTGAAATAGATAATAAAAATTGGGATGAAGGGGGGAATAAAATAAGAAGTCATAAGGTTATATTATATTCTCAAATAAGTAGTGAAAATGGATTAAGGATGTGATTAAAGTTTGACTTTAGAAATAGTAAATAGATTTCTTAAATGCCAAATTGTATGGTGAATTGAAGGTTACCATGGACATACTTATAAACAAAAGAAGCATTTTTTACCTAAATAAATATTTATTTTTTAATAAAAAAATTTATGTCAGAAATTTCACAAAAATGATATGCACCCTAAGTGCATCATAGAAATACTCTATTTAAATTAGGTCATATTGTATCGACCATATGGTCTCAAGCCAAACGAGAGAGCGATTTGGATTTTCTGATCATATACCGGTAATCAGTCGATGTATGACCTCGGTGAATCTCTAAGACCTAGAGTTGGTTCCGGAGACTCAATCAGAACTAAGTGCACAAAAAGAAAGTGCACGTTGAAAGAGTTACAAACCAGAGAGCGAGCGATAAGCTGATGATCGAAGTGGCACGGTCCATTCAAAAATGGACATTGGAGGTAGAATTGTTGTTGGCATTTGCTCGGGTTGACATAGCTGAGCATCCTATCGTTTGAAAAATTTATATGTTTTCTAACATATATTGTATATATGTTACTCCGTATTTTTTATATATTTGTATTAAAATATTTTTTCCCTTCAATTATATATTTCTTAAAAGTTTTGAGCAAACGAAAGATGTGATGCGAGATCATATCAAGGAGAATTTCTTTGTGGAGATGAACAAGGACGCGTCCTACCGAACCCGAGACCAACTCACTTTCGAAATGGGTTACATCAACCGCAAAAGTCTGAAAGTTTATAAAAGTTTATGAGGAATGCACTCGGTCCTGGAAGAGCGGGACGAATGATGTCGATGTTCTACGACAAGCCATCGCCCGGTATCAAGATGACGTGCACCAAGGCAAGGTCCCCATCGATCTTTGGAGAATCGTAAGCCGTTCGTCGAAATGACAATAGTTCAACAACCCCGAGACCGGATCGTCAAAGAAAAGATCCTACGCCGAGAATAAGTCTGATGAGACTATAAAGCTCATCGGAACAAAGGTCTTCCTTCAACCTCGACGACTCCGACGATGAGGACCCCATTCCACGGTGAAGAAGGCAAACCCTATTGCCTCGTGTTCTACATGTTCCGGCTCTGTTTCCTTTCACGACGATATTAGTCAGGGTATGATTGAACAACTGCGAGTTTTTGACATTAGGGAAAAAGAGATGGAGAAATGAAGGCAATAGAAGGAAGAGGACGAAATAGTGGAAACTTAACTTGAAATGTTAACGAGCTTCTAATATATGCTTTACGTGAGAATATAAAAAGAGACCAAAACTAAATATAATTTGTTTTAGTATTTATTAATATATTTTTTTAATTAAATGTTCTCTTTTAATATAATTTTGTTATTTAATGAATTATTTCTATTAAAATTTAATTAATTACTAATATTTTATTGTTTTGGTTTTAGAATCTGTGTATTAATTACTAAAATTTAATTAAAATTTAATTAATTACTACTACCTCTGTCCCGTGAAACATTTCCCCTTTCTTTTTTTATCCGTCCCACAAAACATTTCTCATTTCTATTAAAAAGTCACTTTTACCCCTAACTTTTTCATACCCTAACTATCACATCATACCTTTTTACTAATAATCTATCCATCAAATCATACTTTTACACATTACATCAAAAGACATTTTTGAAAATTCAATACCAAAATACACTCTCTTAAATCCCTCTTAAAAAGCAAATGTCCCGTGTTTTACGGGACGGAGGGAGTAATATTTTATTGTTAGGGTGATGCCTAAGGCACATACACTCTGCTGGGAGAATATGACAAACCCCTCTTTGGCTTCATCTCTACAAGCCCAAGATCATGAATGTAAGTGGCACATGCATATACAGAAAACATGTAAAGTGAGAGTTGAATCCTTCAAAACATTCACTTGGCCTGTACTCCGTAACTGACCGCTGCGAGACATTGTCCATCACGACAGAGAAACGGTCCGTGTGTTGACTTTGGTTCGTCAAGGCAAATAATACCATAAAGTGAGAGGAACATTGTCCGTGTCTTCTGCAAACACTGACGATGTCAACCTTGATGTCATTCACGGTGTGACTAAAGGGGTGAAGAGGAAAACTGAAGGGGTTTTTGTGTTGTGCACCATTTTGATAGAAACCACAAACTACAATCATGTACTGATTCCAAGTTGAAATTTGAAGGAAACTGCATAGGTTCCACATTAGAGGAGGCTTAAAATCAAGCAAAGTTCAAATGTGTAAACACCCGTTATGCTTTCTAGTAGGGAAGCAGTCACTTTCCCTTCAAGCACGCCAATCATGTTTTTTTACCAAGCAGAATAAAGTAAAATATTCCCCAGTACCTTTGATTTTCTAGTAACAACTCCCAGATTCTATATTATCTTAAATATAGTTCGGGGTACACTTGAATTTTTGTTAAGCATTTTCAGTTTCTACATTATCTAAAATATACTCCATAGGTCTTAAAAATTTGTGGTAATGTAGACTTTATTCACTTTAATACATGAATGTAGTTTAAACATCTAATTGCCCCTCCTCTAAAGATAAATATAAGAATTGTCACTATAGATTAACATTATATAGAATTAAAATTTGTGGCACGACTTGACTGGATTTTATCAATTATGAAGACAATCAAATAACGTGACTTGGAGATGGTATATCCAGTTTCATGCCAATGAAAAGAATTCGCGAAGAAGAACCTGCTCTTGAAGATGAAGACAAGTCGATCACCATGTTAAAGAGTGTCAAGATGGAAGAAAAACAATATTATACTGGATTTATTGATAAAATTGGTTTTATGGTTTGACTTGCATGGTGCGGTTGGACAACACCATGTAAGAGTACACAGTAGTAGATGATTTTATGGTTTATTCTACAAATACTTCATTTCTTTTAGCCTAAAAATTTAAACATGTCTTGGTTTTTATTTATATATTTTTTGTGTTGGGTCATACCTACATAAATAAAAATAATATAATAGAGAGCGTAGTATAAAAGTATTTTTTATGGGCACAAACATTTCACCGACCTTCATAGTTTGAAAATTATGGTCCTACTTCAAGGAAATTAAATTATAGTCTATTTTTAAATAGATTTATACGTCTATGTTAACGAAAGATGTAAGTTTTCTTTAACATATAATTTTTTACCAATATATAATGCAATTTTCCTTTAACTAATAATTAAATTTTGTTCATTTTAACAACAAAAAAAGATAATCTTGAAAAATATTTCGGGACAAAGATAATAAGTAAATTTAATTAAAATGGGCATTGAAAAAAAAATATATATAAAAATGATACCACCTACAAAAGTCATGGTCACTTTTAGTTTATATTGTTGTTTCACAATATAAACAAAGAAAAAATTTAAAATATTATTTCTAGATAACAATGAAAACTCTTGCAACCATAATAAAAAATATTGTATATCTTGAAATCTTTCAAAAATTTTGGAATTAAAAAAGACTTTGTTAATTACACTTTCAATTCTTCAAATATAATTTACTTTAATTTGGCTTTTGTGTCTATAATATTAAAACTCTTGCTAGAAATATATAATATTAAACCATAATAAAAAATATTGTATATCTTGAAATCTTTCAAAAATTGGCTTTTTACTTTGTTTTGGATTAAATTGTATATTATTAATCAATACTGTAATTTAGGATTGATTTGTACTTAATGTTTAATGATAGAGTTTAATTATAATTATAAGAAAATGACCAATTGGCTGGGAAAAATGGGGGGCCAATGTACAATTTCCAAAAAGTGGATTTCAATGTAATCAGGTTAAGGAGTACTTTCGGACGACGAGGAAGAAGAGAAGATGCTGAAGAAGAAAGTGCGGAAACAAGAAGAAGACTGAAGAGAAGGATTTAAAAGCAGGAGCAAAGGAGAAGAAAAAGGGAAAAGAAAGCTGAAGAAGTAGAAAAGTCAAACCAGTTAGAAGAAAAAGTTTTTGAATCGAATACTGAAGAATAACATTATATCTAATCTGCTACACTATATCCTCTTCCTTACAAGGTTTTAATGTAATTTTTCATTCCTTGATCTCCAAATAAATTAGCACTAGCTTGTGTCATGTCCAACCATCTCCAAATAATAGCAGTATTCTAATCTTCAAAATAGTAAGACATGTTTTTTTAAACCAACTCGAAAAGGTTGGAAGAGGCGGAAGAAAGAGAAGCAAAACTCCAAAAACTTGATGAACAATTTCCTCAACCATCTCTTGGGTATATAACCACAAACACATTATTCGGTCAAAACTACCCAGCAACCAAATAAAATTGTCTAGTACTATACGCAGAGTGCTAAGAGCCATCTATGGAATGACATATCGGACGATATGCCTCGATGGTGGAGCTCATACACATCTCGGTGATATTCTTATTAGAAGAGGGAGGGTAATTTACGAGAAAAATGGATTTGAAAAGCCCGGCGAGCTCTTAAAATGTTTCTTTCTTATCTACGAAGTTTCTTTGCATTTGTTCCTTTTTTATAACTGCATCATTTTGTTTGTCGAGTGTGTGTTGCAAACTTGAAAAAAGGCATACTTGTTCTGAAGCAAATCTTCTTGATGATTCTCAATGTGGCTAAAACAAAAGTAAGTCATGCTCCTGTGAGCATAATCTAGTTTCTTGAACTTTGTGAGACAACGCTTGCACTTGATAAAGATAAGGTGAATGAGGAGCTTGTAAAGATAGAAAGACTAAGGTATAACAATTTTTTTATTGTTGTATTTTTGAAAAGTTTAAGCATATGTTTTATACTTTACAAGTTGTAACTTTATCTCTTTTTTAGGAAATTTTGCTACTTTGTTTTCAAAAATCCGGTGGTTTACAATCGAGATGATGCGTTCAAGTATTTGTTCACGGTCAAGAATTTAGTTGAAATGGATGAGTTGGGTTTTGAGAATCATGTCAAACTGAAAAGGTGCTTCGATGAATATGTAAAACGAATCACAAAGGGGGATAGAGAGCTACACTAAATCAGATGCTTTAATAGTCAGATTAACAATGCAAAGGGTCCAAAGAAGGGGAAGAAACATGGTGCAAAGGTTGGAAGGATGAAGAAGGCAACAATGCTAGGAAAGAGCAAGAAGAGCTTGAAAAACAAGAATGTCAAAAAGGATGCTATCAATAACATGTATGAAGATCCATATAATTGCATACGGTTGATACAAAGCGTCATTCACCATTTTCAAAGCACGGCTTTTGATCTTGAAATTGAAGCCCATGGTCGATACAATATGGATCAGATCCTCCGAGAAGCACTTGATCGGTATTATCTCGACATAATACCCATATCTTGGTCTGTTTTAAACTTAAAACCCAACTCATCCATTTCAACTAAATTCTTGATCTTGAACAGATACTTGAACTCATCATTTCGGTTGTAAACCACTGGATTTTTGAAAATAAAGTAGCAAAATTTCCTGAAAAAAAAAGATAAAGTTACAACTTGTAAAGTATAAAACATATGCTTAAACTTTTTAAAAGTACTACAATAAAACAATTGTTATACCTTAGTCTTCTTAACTTTACAAGCTCCTCATTCAGCTTATCTTTATCAAGTGCAACCGCTGTCTCACAAAGTTCAAGAAACTTGATTATGCTTACAGGAGCATGACTTACTTTTGTTTTAGCCACATTGAGAATCATCAAGAAGATTTGCTTCAAAACAAGTATGCATTTTTCAAGTTTGCAAGACTTGCTGGACAAACAAAATGATGCAGTTATAAAAAAAGGTACAAATGCAAAGAAACTTTGTAGATAAGAAAGAAACATTTTAAGAGCTCACCGGGCTTTTCAAATCCATTTTTCTCGTAAATTACCCTCCCTCTTCTAATAAGAACATCACCGAGATGTGTATGAGCTCCACCATCGAGGCGTATCGTCCGATTTGCCATTCCAAAGATGGCTCTCAGCACTTTGAGAAAAAAACCAGCCCGTGCCTCCTTCCTCGGCGTCCGTCTGCAATCAGTCCAAAAATCACCTGAAATAGAGGGCGATCCAGCCCGTGCCTCCTACCTCACTATCATCATCACTACTGCTGCTACTGCTGCTTTCTTCCTCATGTTCTCTTTGTACACGATACAGAGTGTTGTCTCTCCAGACCAGACACATTTTTCCATCACACAGATGAAGCAAGAGGGGTGTATAAATAGAAAAACTTGGTATGGGCCCAGGAGCCTCTCAGAACGCAGGTTAATTCTAAAATACCTGGCATTGACTAGATCAAGTCCAATCAAAGAGTTTCCTTTGCAACCCCAATTTAGCCAAAGACAATGGTCTCCAACCACAACGCCAGGATGTCTTGTACTGCTTTCTAGCGCAGATTTATCAAACGGAAGATGATCCCCAAGAAGAAGAAGAAGAAGAAGAAGCTGGCTTATATGCATAAAAGTGTGTACAAGCCTCCGAACCAAACAATAACTTACCCTCACCTTCCCACGCCGCACACACCATAAGATGAGAATCCTCCGGAGGATTTTCAACACCAACCCAACCCCTTTTCTTGACTCAAACTCTTCCATAAATATTATCAAACTCTTCCATGCAATGCACAATAGCCACACATTTTGTGGGGGGTTACGGCGGGGTTGGGGTGGGAGTGCAGGGGTGGGGGTAGGGTGGAGGGTTTAGGGGGTGGGTTAGGGGGGTTGGAACCGTCAATTTTACGAATGGAGCACCAGAGGTGCCCAAAAACCCAGTGGCACCGCTAGTGGCACCGTTTTCCGGTGTCACTAGAACCGGGCCGTTAAAAATTACTCTGATGAATTACGGAGTAATTTATTACGTTGCTTTTATTTCTTTGTCCAACCCAAGTCAGGTTTTTTTGCGTTTTTAAATTTGGGCCTTATGGCCCAATAGACGCTTAAGGGGTATCTGTTTAAGGATTTGAAAGAAAAAAAGCCAATTTATATTGTACTCTGCTGTTGGCTTCCTTGTAATGATCTTTTTTAGCCATAAATAAATATTACTACTATTTATTGCACTCCTATAATGTCAAAAATAAAATATTTTAAATACAAAATTACATAAAATAAAAATTTTATAGAATAAAAGTAAAAGCATAACAAAATAAAATGTTATAAGTAGACATAATTGACTATACTTGGCAAAAAATGATTCAATCAATTTTTAACCCAAGACTTAATCTAAAAATACTGGGTTTTGAATAAAGGTTTTGAAATTAATTTTTGACATTTATAATTACATGCCATATCTGAAAAAAAGATTTCTGATTTTAATTTTATACTGGTATAGATTTAAAATGTTAAAAAAAATATTTTAAAAGTGAAACAAAATAAGTTGGAAATACTTTCATTACTTTGCAATCAGATGGTAGGAGTGATCGAGAGCCGGAAGGGGAAGGGACGGGTCACTTGGTCAGTCACATACTCTGTACTTTTTACGATCTAAAACAACAGAGAAATGGGGCGCCATGGCAAAGCGGGTATGGGATCCATTGTATTCTCAGTCTTCCTCTGTTTCTCTTACCAAATCACTGTTGCCTTCTGCCTGGAACCCCATTTGAGCTCCACCCGCGTTGTCTTCCAGGTTCCATTTTCGCAGCTCTCTCTGTCTGGTTTTTTCCCGTTTAAAGAAACAGAATAAAATCCGATGCTTTAGATGATTAAATACAAGTGATGGAAAAAAGAATTACAGTATTACTGTGCAAGTAAACTGAAATTAAAGAGGATATGTTTGAGTTGATTGGATATGGCACTAGAAATGAAGTGCTAATCGAAAAAGGACGAACCTTTTTGGCTCTTTTCATGATTTGGAACACAAGAATCGAAGCTGCTTATTGCTGAAATTCTGGGTGTTGAATAAACTAGGAAGATTTGAATGTTTTGAGTTGAGTGCAGATGAACTATGGGGACATTGAATTTGGGTTTTATCCCAGTGTTGCGCCAAGAACAGTCGAACACATCTTCAAACTTGTCCGGTTGGGTTGCTACAATACTAATCACTTCTTTCGGGTAATTACTGAGAATGGTTGACTTCTTGAAAATTACAATTGCTGCAAACGTTGTGCATTGGCTGATCAGAGCAAACACTGGGTGCAGGTCGACAAGGGGTTTGTTGCTCAGGTTGCAGATGTTGTCGGAGAAAGAACAGTTCCCATGAATGAAGAACAACGGGTAGAAGCCGAAAAAACTGTCAAAGGAGAATTCAGTGATGTCAAGCATGTAAGAGGGATTCTTTCAATGGGAAGGTAAAGCCTTTCTTCATTGCAGTAATTGCACTTCCTGAACTGATCATGTTCTTTATGCTGTCCAGCCTACTCTTCCGGGATCTTATTAGATTTGTTGTTGGACAGCTTTGAAAACTTTTGTCTGCCTAAATGTTTTTCATTTGCTTGGACTAAACCTTTTGAACTCAATTTCTTAGATATTCTGATCCTGATAGTGCATCCTCTTCATTCTCTATGCTTCTTGGAGATGCACCTCACCTTGATGGCCAAGTAAGGTGGTTAGATTAATCATGATGATATCCTTTTCTGTGTACTTTTGAATATTAATCATGAAAATTATTACCTTTTGGTACTCATTAGTATGCAGTATTTGGAAAAGTCACTAAGGGGGATGACACATTGAGAAAGCTTGAGCAGCTGCCTACTCGACGTGAAGGGATCTTTGTAATGGTAGTATTCCATAATTGTCTTTCTATTTTTCACCCTATTTGAAGATGCATAAGTGCATAACACGACTATCTTGCTTGGTATTGTTGGTAAAAAACATGATTCTTGTGGTAGATAAATGGTAGATAACGACTGCATATATCAATACTTAATTACTTTTTTGGATGACATTTGTATTCTTATTTTTGGGCTTTATTTCAGACAAACGCTTTTCGCTTCACGGATTATTCTCATCTCTCCATGGTTTTTGTTTTTGTTGTTGTAGCCAACAGAGCGCATCACCATTCTGTCAACATATTACTATGGTAACTATCCTCTACATATCTTTATATGTCGGTACCTGTTTTTTTATGTAAGGATAGAAAAATAAAGTTAATTAGCTTTGTTTTTAGTAGGGAAGAAGTCTTACCCTCTATATAAGAGTTGCAGAATTACAACCACAGTGGCTGCCCTTTTCCTTAATGACTTAAACATCCCAAGCTAAGGTGCCTCCAAAGCGTACCGGGTGTTTACATATACGTACTTAGGTTGACTTTAAGCCCAGAGTGGAACCTATACAGTTTCCTTCAAATATCAACGTGGTATCAGTAAACGATTGTTGTTTGTGGGTTGTCTCAAAATGGGGCACATTACCCATAAATGTTCATAGCACCATTCTCAACCCAAAAAAATACCGTCTTCACCACATTTGGAGCCCTTTAGCTTAAAAATGCAACAACAACCTACCAAGTAAAACCCTACAAGTGGGGTCGGGGGGCGGAACCCTTGAGCTCATCAATATTTTTTTATTCTATGCTCGTCCCTCTATCTTAATCCCTTTTTACCATTTTTCTGTCCTGCGGTCTAGGGAGGGTGTGCGAGTTATACTTACATCATACTTATAATACAGAGTATCATATTTCACTAATCTAGACAATCAAACAATGAAATAAGAGTCTACATATCCTCCTCCTCCTCCAACAACAAACCTAATGAAATCCCACAAGAGGTAGAGTCTCGGGAGGTTATGTGTACACCCCCTACTTCTAAGTAGAGTCTATATATCCTCCAAGTTTCTTAAAAGAAACTTTTTTTGATGACATTGAACTATCTTTCTAGTCTTGTAGGAAAAGTCGGGATGGGTGCAATGTCTAGATTATAATCTATACAACATTGAAGTTTAATTTACAAAGCAGTAACCATTTTCACATGCACTATTATGAGCTCAAAGAAGCAACAACAACAACAAACCCAATACAATCCCAAAAGAGTAGTGTCTAAGAATGGTTTGTGTACACACAAATCTTGCCCCTACTTGGGAATAGAGAGGTTGAGGTTAACGAAGAAGCATTGACAATAATTTACTTGAAAGAATGAAAGACATGTCTAACACAGAGTCAACTCTGCGAACTTTTTTCTATCTCTTTGATTCTGATATGGCAATGCTATTTGGCCTGATTGCTTTAGATGCTGAGATGGAGTCTTGCGAACATGAGAGGTCCTTGTTGAGAAGAAGACTTGCTGCATCTACTGTTGAAATTGAAAGACAGGTGATTGCGTTGTACACACTCTACTTACCGATGTATGAAAATTCGACATTATTTTTACGGAACAAAGAAATTCTTTCCCCTTTTTTTGCAGAGAATGAAATGCTTTCCATAATGTAATGGATGGAGAGGTCAGGCATTGATACAAGTTTCACTCATTTCCCCCAAATTCAACTGGTTTACTTTTGTTTCAAAATTGACTTTACCTTTAACCTGTTTGACTACACTTATCTGGGAATTGGGAATTGCTCAGATGCTACTTTTCCTTGCCTTCTTGAGCATCTGTTTTTGTGGTAATCTTAATCCAATAAAAACAAACATCTGGAAGGATCAAGAATTCAAGATTCAAGAATGAAAAATCCCTTCTTCTTTTTTTATATAATATATTCAGCACCACATTCTCTTCCATTTCATCGAACTTAGCATCCTTCCGTTTACTATAGAGTTCTAAAGTCGTGAACTCGATGAAATAGACTATTTGCAATATATGATATTGTACTTATTGAATCCAAAATTTATTGTTAACCTTGGTTTGCTAACTTTTTTTTATTTTTAGGTAGAATTTTTAAAAAGAATATATTTTTATACATCTATATTCACAAGCTCAATGCATTTTAACATCATCCAACACTAGTAGCCTAGTACGATCATTGTGAATTTGGAGCATTTCTAAATATCAAAGTGGTAGCCCTTCCTCTTACAAGAACCCTGATTTTTAAATCGCCCATTTTCGACCTACAAAAAAAGCAATGACATTTGTAACGAGTCATATAGATTATATACACTAATATTTGACAAGTACTTATTTGTAAAGAGTACATGAGATTCTCTACACATATCCGCTCTAGTATATATATTCCCTTGAGGCAATGATAGAGTGATTCTCATTCTTCAACCATACTTTGTAATAGATCGGGAATAACCATATAAATTCTTAGCTGTAACAGTTATGGATAGCCAATAAATCTTTGGGTAAAGGTTTAAGGATAATCTTTCAAATCCTTGGATGACCATTGTAAAATTTTGAGTGATTGTTAGTTTCCCAAATTCGTGTGGTGCTTTGACAGTGTTCTTGAGGCTGAACTCTATCCTAAAAAATCATTAAGAGAGAGTCTTAAGGTACTCAATTTTGGATTTCCCAAACTAAGGTCATGTTCTCTTCAACTTATTCTTATTACTTATTACTTTTTCTTATTGGAATTAGATCAGACCAGATCTGATCAGAAATAGTTTTAAATATAACTACATTCAGATAAGATGAGATCAGATTAGAAATTTTTCCAATCAGAGCATAGCTATTTAGATCAAGCGAAGAGAACATGGCCAAATAATGTCTAATATAACATGCTTATCGGATTTAATTACAATATTTAATTTTTCCGCATTTTATTTACTTGTGCATTTCATATAAGTTTCACCGTGGGCACAAATAAATTTTAAAGTCCAAGATACACACACACACACACCGCATTTCCGCATTTTATATATACTCTCCCCGTTCCATTAAACCCTACCTCTTTCATTTTTTTCCAATTCTCTAAAACACTTCCACTTTCTATTAAAAAACCACTTTTACCCCTACTTTTTTATACCCTTCCTATCACATCATACTTTTTCACTAATAACCAAACTATCACATCTTACTCTTACCCATCACATCAGGGGTAAAATTGAAAAGTCAACCAAAATTACACTTTCCTTATTTTTGGCCCAACGTCAAAATGGGAATGGTTTAATGGAACGGAGGGAGTGTAAAAGTTGGCATACACATATACACACACACACACAAGGTATGTTGGAAGTCCAAATCCAATGGGACAAAATGTGATGTTGATAAGTAACAAAATCCACACAGGTCTCAAACTGGAGAGCAAACATATTCACAACTTGTTTGTACACAATGGCAATGTTCCTGCTGGATACATTGAATTCTTTGAGGACCACCCAGTATATATATGAATGATGGGCCACCAATTCAAGCTGTTCTTGTGGATAATTGTTTCTAGCTAGTTATTATTTGATAAATGGTACTTCTGATATTCAGTATGGTGGATCTTTTATGTTTTGTATTCCATCTTTTCATTCATACAGAGAGAGAACAGATAGTACTATGCACTGGATCTAGACTTTTCTAGTTCATTATAGTTCTTCTTCTTGGGCTTCTTCTGGGAAACAAAGAAAGGGGTAGTTCCTGTCCATGTCCCATGTGTAATGTACACACCTGAGTGTTTTTTATTTTATTTTTTTTATGATTTCTTGTCGCCATCGTCATTATTGCCACCTTATTTATATTAGTCCCAACTGTGTTAAGGTCATGATACAGTCACACCAGGGATGACATCAAGGTTGACATCGCCAGTGTTCACGCAGAAGACATTGACGGTGTTACCCCTCATTTTCAGGTATGATTTGCCTTGATGGACCAAAGTCAACACAGGGACCCTTTCTCTTTCTGGTGATTGACAGTGTCTTGTAGCTGTCTGTTATAAGCCTAGTGATTTTTTGAATGATTCAACTCTGAGTTTCATGTGCCACTGACTGCCATTGATGATCTTGTGCTTGTACAAATGAAGCCAAATATGATGCTTTGTCAAATTCTACTACCACCCACATGCTATTGAAAAACCGACAAGACGTAGGGTCACACCAGGTTTGACACCGAGAGTTTAACAAAATAGTTTACGATGGTCATTGTCTGTGCATGTCTGTGAAATATTTGTTGCCAGTCCTAGTGGATTTCTTGCATTTTTTAACCTTGTTTGTTCGGGGACAAAAAAAAAATGGGGTTTGATTTGACCAGAGAAGCATCCATACAATCCCCAGAGATCTCCCATCAAACACGTACCCATGATTGATTAGGGTTTGTTTGTACTTTGGGATGAAATATGTGCTCATGTGCTCTAGGTATGTACTAATAACATGAGTTTTTCACTCTCCTCTTGGAAATTAAAGAACAATCATGCTAGGAGTACACCAAAAGTATACCAAAAAAATGCACTTACATTTTAACGGTTCACACAGGCAGAAATATGTTACTTCAATTAAAAAAAGTTGCACTGACATTTTTTGTCAATGTAAGTCATCACACAAGCACAAAATGTCGGTGCATGTCTTTGGGGTACAAAATGGAGTACAAATTTTGGTGTACAAGTAGCTACTCATCCCATTAATACAGTACAACTAGCTTAATCCAATTAAAGAATTACTCTGTATTTATGCTAGACCCTTGAAAGATTACTGCATAAATTTACTCTGTAATTATGCTAGACCCTTGAAAGATTACTGCATAAATTTACTATGTACTTATGCTAGACCCTTGAAAGATTACTGCATAAATTTACAGTCTAAAACTTCGTATCCGAGTATCAACCCAAGTCCCACACTTGGAAATCAAAGAAGAATATCACATCAATTATCATGAGCCCTTTTTTCTTGTATGGCGTAATATCAAATTCTTAGAGGCGTGACTCGAAACTTACCATATCGTATTAATGCGGAGTTAAAGTGACATTTGACGTGATGACGTGACAGACAGTATTAATGTCCAGGCAACAAATTGTATTCAATTGTGTGTTTTTTTTGGACGGTGGAGGCATTGCTTGAGAAAAATAAAAGGGATGGGAGGGGGGAGAAATGGGGCTTTGTTGTACAAAACTGCAGGTTTTTGTCCTCTTTGAAAACAAAACAATATGAGTCTCCATCAATGCTTTGCAAGTTCATGTCCATTTCTGAATTGTTTGATGTTCCCTTTTGAGAGGGATTGCACAAGTGTTTGCCCACCGGAAAATAAAAAACTTCTTAGTTTCACGGGCCGTTTTGCCCCGGCCGGGGACACTCCACATGCACGATCTTGCTCTTGAGATGTACGCTGTCTGTCTCGATAATTTTTTTTCTCAATCTTTCTCATTTTTGTTTGTCTAGAATCAGTTGTTTGTCTAGAATCAGTTGTTTATTTCCCGCATTTCATAAAGAAACTACGAAGAGTTATCTAAAATATCTCAGGGAAAATAAAATATGAAAATGGTGCTCGAGTGACATAATTATGATTACGATAGTCGTATCTTTTCGGTGGTTGGATGAATTGAAACGCGTATAAATATAAAATAATCTGAAAAACTTTTTTTTTAGTTGTGCACTAAGGATGGGGTGACAATTAATTTTCCATTTTTAAATAGGCTTTTAGATCATCTAAAAATTTTAATGAGTTAATATCCACATCAGAAAGTGCATATTTCTGAAAATTAAGGCAATTCCCCTTTGCTTATGAAGCCTTATGTTGCCCCCAAGCGTCGGGTGCCCACAAAATGCCAAATAAAACAACAAAAACGGCAAAGTGAATAAATTGGGTCACGGGAGGCCGGACCAGTTATATACGGACTATATTTCAGCTGCCTCCAAAATTCAATGCTCTAATTTTGAAGAACTTTTTTTTACTATTATACCCCTGCTTCCCGTATAACTTCTCCACTTTGAAAAGGACGAGATTTAAAAAATGTGTGATTTTAATGTTGATTTCTAATTTTGTTCTTAGGAGCTGTTTGTTTCAGCCTCTTCATGGTTCAGATGTCTGAATGGTTCAGCACTTAATAGTTCAGACTGTTTGTTTCAGCCTCTTAATGGTTCAGATGTGTGAATGGTTAAGAGATTTGTCTCTGAATGGTTAAGTATTATACAGAGTCTGAATGGTTAAGACATCTTATCTGAATTGATCAGACATTTGCCCCTGAATAGTTAAGCAATATACTAGCTCTAAATGGTTCAGACCTCTTACTCGTTCAGTACTTAATGGTTCAGACCTCTTACTGGTTCAGCACTTACCTATTCAGAAGTTGTCAAACAGCCCCTTACTTTATTATAGATTATGATTAATTGGATGAGTAGATTAAAATTTAGTAAATATTATGAGATATGTTGTTGACAATTAGTAGGATAAATGAGAGTTTTTAATTGAAATGAAAGTGTTCAGAACGATTGAAAAATTGAAACTTTTTTTGGGGCGGAGTTGTCATTCATGATCCAAGTTTTATTTTATTGTTGATAATTTTTTATACTCTCTCCATCTCAAATTAATATTCGTAGTTTGACTTTGTACGGGGTTTTTAAAAAGTTAGGAAAAAAACTAAAATATGAGCAAAACATTCAAAATATATCAAAATAAAAATTGTACGTTTAAATTTCTGAAATAGAAGCTAAAATACATTTACAGTATCAATCATGACCATATTCATTACCAAAAAGTATTATGAAATATCCACATACAGTGCAATATTATCACAATGCAGACTTCTATTTTGAGGATAAAAACATGGAGCTCTTATTTTATGGATAAAAAGAGAAAGATAAAATGTTTGTGAAATGGTGGGAGGATATAAACCATATAATATACCATCTCTCTTCTAGAGTGCTTGTGTAATTAGTCATTTTTTGGGGCATCCATAAAACATTTCTATCCACATTTATAATGTCTAAAATTTACCATATTTCTCCTCTGTTGTAGATAGAATTTGTTTTGGAAATATTTTAGACATCTAAGATGGGTAAAAATATTTTATGATATGCACAAAGAATGAAGCATGATCATTTTTTTAAATTGTTGGATTTGTTTGGTAGATGTGGAAGAAATGAAAGAACATTTATGGTCCATTTCGCGAGCTTGAGAGATATGATAAGATATGAGTTATGAAACCTAGAAGAAATGAAATGAGTTTTGAAATTTAAAACAAAGTTGTTTAGAGAAATTCAAAATTATGATTTAATTAGTGATAAGTGGAGGTGACCGGCAACGGGTATGGTTGGTGGTGAAAATGGTAGCCGGTGATGGAGAATGATTAACGATTGAGGGAGGCATCAAACCCCTATATTGATATCTCCCAAATTCAAGAGATATCGAAACCGTCCATTTGAAAAATTTATGATATTTGGGAATATCGAATTCAATATCTTTTTTGGCTTCATCAAACACCAAATCGAATATCGATATCTGTAGATATCAAAACCCATATTTTGTTTACTCAACAAACACACCCTGTCACCCTCCCGTTAATTAATTACACTTACAATTGCTTTGACTAAATTCCACCATTTTATTCAAACACAAAAAAAGAACAAATACTGTAATGATTTTCAGATCGACATTAAAGCTAAACAACTATGGACTGCGTAATTAAAACCAACTATTTTAAATGAGTTGTCTTCTAACCATTTATTTATTGTCATTAAATCCAGACTATGCATTTATATAATTATGTATTAATCCCACAGCACGTTTACAAATAGTTGTCCTATTTGATTTTATCCCGTGTTTTATTCAGTTATGTATACTGTGCTAACCTAATTGTTTACAAGATTGTACACTTGAACATAATTAGGACTTGAACAAGAGTGTACATTTGAACATCTTTAGTTCAACTATATAATTTAACTAGCCTTGGACGCACAATGTGCGTCGGGTGCCCAAAAAAGTGCACTTTCTCTCTAAATGAAACTTTTTTTAAGAATGTTAGGCTTAATTTATTATTATTTTAATTTATTTCAAAATTAGTGTGAAATTAAAAAGTAAATTTATATATGAGTATTTAAGAATTGCATGAAAAAATTGTGAAACAAGAGGTGATAGAATTGTTCTATTTTATCAAATGAGTAACAAAAACAGTTAAACAAAATAGATAATAGTTGATTATATGAAGAGTATTTTGTAACTTTTTTTGAGAGGCCAGGGAGAGTGTACTTCAAGTCGTTTGAGAACATCATTTTCGATTAGTTTTAACGTTCTATATTCAATTTATTTGATGTAATTTATTTTTGAAAATGTTAACGCTAAACGATGTAATTATATAATTTTTCAAAACGTCAACCTCTAATGTTATTTTGTAAGAGGGTGGAACATTGCTTTCACTTTTTTCTTTATTATTCATTTACAATACTTCACTTTCTTTTGAACAAAAAGAGCTTGTTATAATTAGAAAACCTATTTTCATTCCCACAACTGTTAACTACACTTTTTTTTTAAATTGGGTAGAAAGAATGAGGTGATAACGGGCTTGTTTGGGAAAGAATGTTTTTTTATTAGTGTTATCGTTTTATATAAAAATTTAGTGGTGTAGATTAATTCTAAAAATGCTAATGCAAAAGGCTACTGTCAGATAACATTTTTAAAATGGTAACGCTAACCTCAAACATTGATGTCAAACGGAACCAATATAGGGTATTACGAATATTTTTTAGGGAGGATAATACGGAGCATGATTCAAAATGAGAGTCTAAGTTACAAAAAGGGAATGAGGAAAATTAGAAATCATGAAAAACAAAAAAATCACAATTCAACCACATAGAAGGAATAGCACACAGTAGTTTGATGAGTAGGCAGTGCAGAGTAAACTAACGGAACTTTGTTTATAGGGAG